CCGCCGCCGCCGCCGCCGCCAGTCTCCGGACGAGACTAGTCCCCGCCAGCGCCGCCTCCGCCGAGTGACTGACGAGGGGCGGGGCCGGGCGCCGCGCGTCACAAGCCGAGCAGCCAATGGGAGCACGGCGACCGGCGCCGCGAGGGCGGAGGCGGGGCGCGAAGGAGGGCGTGGCGTGGAGAGTGGGGGCGGGGCCTGCGGCGTGCGTGCCCGAGAGTGTGTGCGCGCTGGCTTGCGCGCGTGCCTGCCGGTGGCCCCCGCGGCCCCGGCGCGGCTGAGCTTGCGAGACCTGCGGGGTGCACGTGGCCGCGCTCGCGGACTCCCCAGCCGGCAACCCCCGCCCCCCCCTCCGTCACGTCCATCCGGCCCGTGCGCCTGCCGCTGGGACGCCCGCCCCTGAACCGCTCTGGAGAAGTAGTTCCGCGCAGTTTGCGCGCGCCACGGGGCGCTTTGCCTCGGCTCTCGGCGCCTCGAGGCTTACAGCTCCCAGCTAGTGGGCAGGGCCTCCTAGGGCCCGTGGTACCCCGCACATTTGTGTTGCTCTTCCACGCGGAGCTTTGTAGCCGCCTCTCTTCGGACTCCCTGCTCGCAAGCGACACCCCTCCTGGGCCTCGGTCGCGGGAGTGAACTCTGGACAGGGTGTGGCATAGCCACAGTTCCCCCCCACCCCAGGCCAGCCCCTTGGGGGCTTCGGGGCGCTGGCTGCAGCTTGCACTTCCTCGGAGCCTAAATAGGGCGTTTCCCTAGGGAAGTTGCTATTCAGATCCTGGCGACCACATGCCAACATTCTAACCTTGTGTGGCGGCTCCTGCCTCTCGGAAATGAGGCTCAGAACCCTCCCAGGGTGGTTTGGAAAATTCTGGGGCAGAATGGATGGAAAGCAAGCTGCTCGGTACTCGGCAGTTAGGTACTCGGCAGTTAGGGAAGCGTCTGGGCCCTGGCCTTGTGCACCATTTCTTCCTGTGTCTGAGAATGTTGAAGGTAGGAAACAAGTGGTACCCCTCACTTTCTGTCCTGCTTCTAGAATGCCCTCGCCTAATTGCCTTGAACAAGAGACTCAGGACCCACTGCCCTCAGACACTGGAGAGGAAGGGTGAGGGGAACAACTGAAGATTAAAAGTTCTAGCAGGTCGGGACTGAAGCACCACGTGTGGGGAGGGACTGGGCCCTGCTAAAAGGTGGGGATGGGGTGTGGAGAACAGATAACTGGCCTAGACTCTAGTTGACCTCAAACTCAAAGTAGGTTCTTACCAGAACTGGCCTCTGGGAGAAAAGCAGAGCAGAGCTGGAGACCCCTGGAAGCTCCCGGAGAACCTGCGGGAAGCAGGAAGTCCTGGGATCAACTCAGGGATCAGGAAGGGACAGAATTAAAGGGAGACAGTGTGACCGTGATAAACTTGATCAGCACTTGATGCCCTCCAGGCATGCACGCCCAGAAGGGCCAGCAACACTGTTTAGCAAGGCTCAGCAACCTCCCAGGCCTCCACCTCAGAAGCCTCCTTAGGAGCTGAGGAGGAAGAGGAGGGAGGATAGAGCCCCTGGGCCAGAGAGCCCAGAGATAGTCAAGGAATGTTCAGATTAAGACATGGCCCCAGGCCAGCAGCCATGGCCTCTAGGGTCCAAGTGGCAGGCTTCCAGCACTCTGCCCCTGGTGCATTAAAAAAAAAAAAAAAAAATTCCCTTTGGGGGGAAAAAAAAACACTGAAGGGCTTGCAGCTTAGTGGTATAGTGTCTGCCTAGTAAGCAGGAGGTCTTCCATTAGACTCTTAGCACTGGAAAAATAAGTAAATAAATAAATAATCCCACTGGAAGTCCCATCAAGTGAAGGTAGCTGGGAGTCACAAGTCATAGAAAAGGGACTGACTTTATTGTTATTTATACAGAGTAAAATACACAAATCGGTTTTGCAGCTTAGTGCATAGTGGAGTTCAGCCTTGTATCATCCATCTAGGTGAAGGTATGCTACATTTTCATCCTCCTAGCTAAGGCCTGCCCTCAACTCCCCAGATGACAACTACTTCAACTTCTGTCATTAGAGATTTGTTTTCTCTCCATTATTCATGTGGTATGTCTGGCTGGAACTTTTTTTCCCCTCCTTTGTGGAGATGGAACCCAGAGCCTTGTGGGAAGCAAGCACACTACCACTAAGCTACATCCCCAGCCCCTGGCTGGCACTTCTTACTCAGTATAATATCCTTAATATTGGGCTGGAGAGATGGCTCAGCGTTGAGAGCAGTGACTGTTATTGCAGAGGACCCAGGTTCGATTCCCAGCACCCACATGGTGGTTAACAGACATCTGTAGCTCCTGTTCCAGGGGATCTGAAGCCTTCTGACCTCCTTGGGCATTGCACGACATGGGTGCACTTACACACATGGAAGCAATACCCTCATACACATAAAATAAAAATAACTATATATATATTTTAAATCCATATTATTACCCTGCACCATTGTCTTCATCCCTAGTCCATGTAGAATCCCACTGCAGTCAACATAGGACACTGGCTTTTTTGCAGTATGTGTGCCTTTGTCCTGTGTTACCTTTTCCAAAGGGGGGAAAAAAAAGAGATCATTTCTTCAAAGTTTTTAAGAGAGGAGAGTTTCTAGAAACTTATTAGAAGACTGCAGATCATTTTTCAGATGGAGCACAGGAGACTCTGATTTTAGTCAGTTGTGGGAAATAAGAGTCTGGAAGCATCCTCCTACTTCTGGCAGCCCTCAGGACCACTTTTGGAGTATATACTCCAGGACAGAATGGCTGTAGACCAGGCTCTGTGGTTCTAGAATGGGAAATTCAACCTGAGCTCCTCAGCAGACAGATGGTCCTTCAGGCACTGCAGGTGTGGGGACAAAAGACAAGTGAGAGGTGACAGCCTTCCCCACTCCTCAGGTTCATTATCTTGAACTTCTGTCTCATATTTCATTTGAAGAAATGTTTTTCCTGTTTTAAAGAGAAATACATATATATGAATGAAACCCATGATTTCAGACTAGAAGTTAGATACACTCCCTGAGAACTGCCTGGTGTGAGTCCACAGCATATCATATGACAGATGAAACACGACATTTTGAGTCCTGTCCCTTCATTCCTCTGCGCCCTCACTGGCATCTTTGCTGTTCCCACAAAAGTTGATTCTCTTCAGGGTCCCAGAGCCTTTGTACTTGCTGATCTCTCTGCCTAGGAGGTTCTCTTCAGGTATCTACATTGTCAGCTACCTCCATTCCTTCGGGTCTTCATTCAGAAGTCACATTCTCAGGTTTTCCTGGTGGCCCAGCCTAAAAATGTCATATACCATCCCTCAATGTCTCAAGACCCCTGCTCTGTTTTCCTTTGTTTCAGTTTGGTGCTTACCACCAACAACCTACCTCAAGGTTCACTCCCCTTGTTGAGCAGATCCTTGCAGAATGCAACACCCATAACAACAGGGACTTGGGTTTTCCATCCTCCTGGTATGTCTCAAGGACAGTGCCTGGTAGACATGTACCAGGAGAGCTGATAGCTATGCTCCTTGCCCTAGCCAAGGCCTAGAAGATCTAGACAAGGCAGACTTCCTTCCTAATCTTTTGGAGTAAACACTCTAGTTATGGGACCAGACAGCCTCCAGGGAATTGATTAGGATTCTAACAGTTGCTACAAAGACAATATATAGGGTGCAAGGTAAGGGGGAGTAGTAAGAAAAGGGGGGGATTGTGCAAGTGGGGAGAGTGCCCTGACAAAGTGAAGACTGCCTAGGAGAATGAAAGTCAAAAGTGATCAGGCTCTGGAGCTTGGCAGGAGCTGAAGGCAAAGAAGCTGTGATCAGAGAAAAGTGAGGAAGGAAGAGGTGAGTTCTTGGTAGAGCCAATGAGGCCAGACAGGCTGAGATGGGAGGGAGCGCTTTATTCTGCATGCCATGGAAGCCTCCGATAGGTTTACTGAGACTCTTGGCCATCTGGGACTGCCTGTGGTCTGCCTTAGTGAATGTGGTACTAGGAAAGGCAGACCCTTATAGGGAAGGAAGAAGAAGGATGTTTAAAGGGACCTTGGAGTTGGACCCAAAGGGTACCAGAGTGTGGGCTCAGGAAAAAACAGAAAGCCACTGGTACATGCCAAAGGTAAGGGTCTGGGAAGTTGTCAGTACAGCTTGCTCCTGCTACTGCCAGGCTGGGAAGCCTGAATGCTCACAGAGGTTGGGATTTTGAACCTGAGAAAGTACCCCGAATTAAGACATCATAGACAACTGAGAGAGGTAAGCCTGTCTCCAAGTACATCAGGGCTTGCCCCTTCCCCTGGCCCCCCCATATTACTAGATGTTCTGAGTCCCAAACTGCAGTCTAGGCTGAGGCTTTCCCCAATTCCACTAAAATGAGGACAATAAACACTAAATGTTCAAATGCTTTGCTATGTTCAAGTAAATTACCAGCAGTTGATCCTGAGGAAGAACTATTTATTTGAAAATATTTCCTTATACTTTTTTTGTCTTACATAGTTAGCTCATTTCAATATCCTTTCTCAGTTGTTTTGTTTTCTTTGGGGGTATTTTTTAAATTTTTAAAATTTATTTTGAGGCAGAGTCTCTTTTAGCCCTGGCTGGCCTTGAACTTACTATGTAGCCAAAGATGATCCTGAACTCCTGATCTTCCTTCCTCTACCTCCCCAGTATTGGGATCACCTATGTGCCACGTATGTCATCATGCCCAGGCAATATTTTGTTTTGTTTTGCTTTGCTTTGTTTTGTTTGATAGATAGTCTCACTACATAGCCCAGCTTGGCCTAGAACTCATGATCCTGACACCATCTCCCAAGTGCTGAGATCACAGGTGTTTGCCCCACATCTGCTTAGCTTTTCTTTAATGGACTAGCGGCAATAGTGTGTTGTTAATAGCTTTCCTTAAAATATCCTCAGGTGAACCCAGCTGACA